AGATGTGGAGAATGAAGAAAAAGAGAGAAACCGAAGACTATGCAAATGTCTGGGGTATCAGGGACCAGCAGAACGGGCACCCCATTGAGTACGTGGAGATGGTGTAAAGGAAAGTCAGTTGGGGAAGAAACATCAGTTTTAGACACGGTGAACGCAGAGGGAGGAGCTAAGTGCAGATACCGTTGGAAGGTCAAAATTCCAGGCTGAAGCACAGATCTGGAGCCCAGACTTCAGACACAGAAGGAGCTGTAATTTAAGAGATTAACAATGGATTGAAAAGAATTGGCCAAGACCTACTTCTGTGAAGAACCACCACTGTCCACGAACACTAACAGAAGAGAAACAATGTGAGACTAAGAAACAGTGATCAACAGATTAGCGTCCCAGTTTTCCAATACTTGATAAGCTTGGGAAAGTAACTTAACCTCTATTTCCTCAGCTGAAAAAAAGTATTAAATAACAGACCTACACTATAAGGTTGTTGACAAGATTAAGTGAGATTAGGTAATAAGTATGTAAACCACATTTAGCAACCTAAAAACTAGAGGAGGAAACCACAAACAGTGGTGTCACAGAAAGGAAGGGCTTGGCTTTTAAGGCAGAATCAGTGAAAGGAACTGATCAAAGGGATATTTTAGCAAATGCCGATAGTCCGAAATGTGAGGCAGCACAGTGTGTAACACACAGAAAACACACTGACCCGCTCACGACAGCCACTGTCCCAACGGGGGGGGGGGGGGGGCACATGAATCCTTGGCACCTGCTGTTCCCTCTGTCTAGAAGGCCAGTCCCGCTAAGGTATCACCTCATCAAAGACACCCTGACCCCATCTGAACTATCACTCTCTGCCCCTCATTATTCTCCACCCCTCTACTCTGCCTTATTTTTATGTATAGTACTCAGCACTACCAATATCACATTTGTTTACTATTAGTTTTAACCAGGATGAAAAAGACTTGTTTTGTTTTCTGAGATATCTCCAAAACCTGGCCATAGCAGCCACTCAACAAATAAAAAACCCAAACCGCCTCATCATAAATGTCAAATGCATTTGGAATTTGGTAGAACACTATAGAAAAGCATCTGAAAGGCAATTTTCCTTCTTTGCATCACCTTGAAAGAATCTTCTGCCTGAGCTTAAGAAGGAAGTTCAGTGGTTTCCATAAACACTTCTAGTGCAATCTATAATGGCCACGGAAGAGTAAACTTACAGTCACCTTCAGAAGAGCACGCTTACTAATATTTATTGAATGTCTACTATGTGCATTACAAAATGTGAATTAGAAACGAAAGACTTGGGGCTTTTTTGGGAGGGAGAAGTGATTTCCCAGCATCAAAAGTGTTTAAAACTACAACATAAATGCCACCTATTTCCAGAATTCACTTCTCAAGGTCCCAAATGCAATTCAAAATTGTCCCTGAATAGAACACTTCCTTCGACACACAATGATCCATGTGTCTTCCTTTACCCTTGCCTGTGGGCCACTGCTGCACCTAAATATCTTGACATCTTTGTCTATCACTGGGGAGACTCATCTACAAGAGGTGCCCAATTAACATTTAGGACTAGTGAAACACAAATACACTCCAATACTCTATAAAAGACAAACAAGTGAATACCGGGGTACCCTGTAACAAGGTCCCAAATTCACAGTTATTGGATCTCAGAATCAGAAAGAACATTAAAGGTGATCTAACCCAGAGGATCGCAAATGTCAGGCTTCAATGAACTTTTTACTAGTCTGTGATAAAATGAGGACAATGCAGTAAGTTTTCATAAAATTAAATTTATTCAATTTAAGGACTATCCTTTAGTTAGGGATTATGTCCTTCCTTATATTTGAGGAAGGATATTAAAATGTTTTTTCTTTCATCAAAAGATGGCAATAATTGATAATTATTGTTTTATAAATAACACTTTTACTTAGCAAAACAAAAACTTAGTAATTCCATGTTAGACTTCAATTTTTTCTTTTTAATTTCACAGGTCAGTGAAATCCAAAAATATGAGAACCTCTGCGCTAATCCAAAACCAATCTGCTGCCCAAATCCCTCAGCACACAGTCAACAGGTTGTCTGTCCACCTGTGCTTGACCACCTCCGACGACAAGAGTCTCCAGTGATGTGGAATCATCAACAGAAAAGAGATGTGGATGTATCTGAGGCGTGTTTGCTCAGTTTTGTGAAGGAAAAGCAAAAGAGCAAGGCCTGTGTAGCGTAAGAACATGAGGGCCACGAAAATGGTCCAGCAAAGGAGGGGAGGTCAAAGGGATGCACTCAGTCCTCCGCCTCAGTCTCCCTTCAGCTCAATTCTGAAAATCCGTAGTGCAAACAACGTTCCTGAAGTCAGGGTGGATCGATTTACGTTTCCTTTTGCACATCTCAGTTTACTACCTGAAATTCCTTTACTAATCTACATCTGACTTTTAGTTGCGCATCTGTCAGGTTTGATCGAAAGCAGATGTCACATGGTCTTCCTATCACCCAAACCCCAAAATGCAACACAATCTAAATGCCACCTATACTCAAGGTTGCAAAAAAAAGTAGAAATATAAAGTCCAATGACAATCAATATGAGAATCTCAAAGGATGAGAAGAGCTTGAAGGCAAGGAGGAGAAAAAGCACAAGAGAGCAAAGCCCAATTTCAAGGAGCCCATCCTGAAGGAATGGGGATCTCGTGCAGACACCTGCCATCCTCCTAACTGACGCACTCTTGGGCCAATGGGGAGCAAGACAGGATTTGAGAGCATGTAAACTGGATGTTAAAAGAGAAGCACAAGCAAAAGCTCCACACACAATGCCAGGCAGAGACAGACAGTCCAATATTTGCAGACTGAATGAATTAATAAACAGACACTCACACAAAGAGAATCACACAGGTGCCTGCCTCAATCACACCATCCAAGGCACTTTAAGTCCAAGTCAAACATCTTTCTTTGCCTTAAAGCTCAGGCTAAACATCTAACCTTATGAAAATCTGAATCCTCCCAGTATCTTCCACGGGCCTCCTGTCCCAGCCCAGCTCCAGCAGTGAAGCCCAGCGAAGTCCCTTCCCAAAGACATTCCCTGCACTTCTCAAATCTGGTGCAGGCACACAGGCCAAGGGGTGGCAAGCAAAAAAAACCATTTCTGATCCACAGAAAGGCAAATAACACTACAAGTTCTAGAATTAGGGTTAATCCTGGACAGACCAAACAAAAATAAAACCTATTTGTATTTATAATTAAATGGACAGAAACAATGAAAAAGTCTCACCAACTTTAGCCACCCATGACTGCAAGGAGTGTGAACAATTCTTTCATCCACGCTGGCATTCCACGTTTTCCATTTTATCTCAGCCTCACAGTGTTCCAGCACTACTGATGGAGTCTCATACCAAAGAACTGTGCTGCTCATCAAAATTATGATTGGTTGAGCTGCCCTGGATTCAGTTTACCAATATTTGCATGCACACATCCATTTCCTTTTTTATTATTTATATTTAAATTATTTTCTGTTTCTACTCCCTCTCTCCAGAGCCTGCTTTTCCACACCCTTCTCTTCGCCCACATCCAAAGATTCCCCTTGCTCTTTCCTTTAATCCCTCTGATCCAAAGGTAAAAAGGGACTACTGGGAACTGATATATAGGGGCAGGTTCACTACAGGTAACGTACCTATGTGTATGTACCATGTGTTGTCTACAGACAGACAGCACAACCTGCTGAGTGCCTCTGAGCTGGACAGACACTCGTGCTCACGCTGTGCTCACCCGGACGTTAACAATCCACCAGCATGTTTCCTGGGGTTCAAGAGCCTTCCCTCACCTGCTGAAGAACCAGACCCGGTCACAGAGCCCTCAATGGCACAGCAATTAGGAAGTGGCTGGGCCCGCGCTTCTATCAGCCCCGCAGGGTCAATTCAAGAGTCTTATCATCTACTCCTTAGCTCCCTGTGACCTGTTCCACCCAAGCTAAAAATCCTGAAATGCACTTTTAGAAACTGTAGTTCCAGACTCCCATTAGCTCTCCTAAAACGACTCAACATCAAAAAATTACTCAGCTCAAGCCAAATATCCATGTTTTGGCTGGAATTCTACCAAATAACCACAAGAGGCTGGTGCGGTACAACTGTCATGGAGTGAAGCTAGCCACATCTAACCAAAAAACCAACCACCACCCACGAATAAGCTCTCCTGAAAACGTACACCGTTTTTCAGAATGAGGTTTGTCTGCGATTTGGAAAGTCAGATTCAAAGGGCTCTTGTTCCTTCCTAAACGAACAGTGAATCAAAATTGAAATTTTCAAAACTCCTGGGGATTTTCAGTCCACTTTTACCAAGGCGTTTTAAAAACAAAACCCCAAAACCCCTGGGCTGAACAGCGCAATCACAGCTTCTACATCATTTTCAGCTGTTATTATTTCTAGAAAGTCCTTCTGTTGCAGCTGATCCTGAATGCACTTTGCTACCAAGGAAGACACCTGTGCGGGGCAGGGCGCTCCACGACTCATCCGCCAAGGCACCAGGGAAACAGAAGATGCTCTCATTTCTGATTAAAATTTTCTGCAGTGCCAGGTAAGAGGTCACATGCCCTGAACGGCCGCGGCTCCTTTGGGGTGATGCAAAATCTCCTCAGAGACGGATTTTGTTAGAAATTCGGGGAAACAAGCAACCCAAGATCGATTCATTTAGACAGCAGCGTCTGGCACTTCCCAGTTTCCCTTTTCCACGAACTCCGCGCGTCCCTGCCCTGGCCCGGCGAGGGTGGGCGGCCCGGGGGTCTCGGGGACTCAGAGCCCCGCACGGCCCGCCCGCACCCGCGGTCCTCCCGGGACCAGAAAGACCCTTCCCGGCCGTCGTGGGCGGCGTTTCAGCCGCCGCCGGGCCCCGCGGAGCTCCGACCGCGTCCGCCTCGGGACTGCGGGCGCCGCGCCCCGTCACGTCCCGCACCCCCGCCCGCCGGCCGGGCTCCCGCGGCCCCGGCCCCAGCATCCGCAGCGGCGCGGCCCGCGCTCACTCACGCGGGAGGCAGCGGCGGCGTCTCCATGGTGGCTCCTCTCGGGCGTCAGAACGCAGGCACCGACCGCCGCCGCCAGCACCATTCCAGCCGCGGACGCCGGCACCGCCCGCCCGCCCAGCCGCGTCCCATCCGCCCGGCGCGGGCGCCGCGCTCGCCTCACCGCGCGCCCCCACCTGCGGCGGCCCCCGCGGCCATGGCCCGCCGGCGGGCGCGCTCCGTGTGCCTGCGGCTCCCGCGCTCGCCCGTGTGCGGGGCGGGACGGGCGCGGGCTCGGCCCCTTCCGGGTTCGGCCCGGCCGGCGCCGACGCGGTGACGGGCGCGACGCGGCCTCCCGCGGCCGGGGGACCCTCCCTCGGCGCCTCCCCTTCCTCCCGCCGCCGCCGAGAGGCAGCCTCCGCCGCTCCTGCTGGGGGCGGACGCGGGACGGACGGCCGGGCCCAGACGCGGCCGGAGGACAGGAGCGGGCGGCGCCGCCCACGCCGGGTCCGTGGGTCCCCGGGACGCGGGAGCCGGGACGCGGCAGCCGAGGGCTCCTCGGAGCAGGAAAGGGCGCCCGAAAGCGCCGCGTTGGCGCCCGCCGCCCGCTCCCTGCGCTGCCGCACGGGCGTGTGCGCGCTGTTCTCTCGTGACGTGAGCCTGTGCCGGAGAGACGGGCGGGCGGCGTCGCCGCCCAGTTCCCTCGCGGATGACGGAACTGAGGCGAGAGGAAGCGAGGTCGCCGGCCCCGCGTTTCCCGCGGGAGCCGCGCCTCCCTCCCCGCCACGGTCCGCGGCGCCCGGGCCGGCTCCGCCGCGGGCTGCGGCAGCAGAACCACGCCTGCTGTGGAGAAAATCAGTCGCCGTGAGCGGCGGCCGGGGAGCGCCTCCGGAGCCCGTGAGCCTGAGCGGCGCAAGGCACGCCCGCGCCGACCCTGCCGGCCGGGCCGAGGGACGCAGGCTGAAGCGGGGCCGGGGCTCTGCAGTCCGCCCGGTGGAGCGTAGCGCCTGGGACTTGTCAGAACTGCGCGTGTTCGCGTCCCGCACCGGACCCGCCGAACCCAACTCTGGGGTGAGGCCCGCAGTCTGCTTTGCCCGGCCCTCCAGACGAGGCTGGCGCCTGCGAGGGTCTGAGCCCCCTGTCGCAGCTGAGCGAGGCAGAGGGGTCAGGGTTGGGGTTAGGGTTAGGGTTAGACGGCGGGCGTGGGGGAGTAGTTCCAGGTCCCGCAGGCTTTGTAAGGCCGCGATGAAGGATTCGGCTTTTGCTGAGACGAGAGGCCATTGGAAAGTGGTGAGCAGCTCGATTTGATCACTAAAAGGATGACTTTTGTGGGATTTGTGTTAAAATACTCCACAAAAAAAGAGGGGGGAGGTGAATAAATGAGGGAAGATTGGCAACATGTTAATTTGTGAGGCTGAGTGATGGGCGCAGGGGGTGGTCATCACTTACCTGTATTTATGTGTATCTTTTAAAAGTTCATAATAAAAAGTTATTTTTCAAAAGATGGCAGGTTTCTGTTAGGACAGCATACTTAGAGAAACAAGGGAGCGAGCAGGGGGATTAGCCTCGCGGGGCTGAAAAATAAGGATGCACTGGATTAGAGTCAGAGTGACTGAGGGCAGTGGTGGGATTCTGAGTCTGTGTAGAAGAGAAGGCGCACGGGAACCGCTGACAGGTTAGAGGAAGGGTGGCGTCCAGAATGACCCTAAGGTCTCCGTCTGAGCTCTGGGGAGAATGGAGTTGCCCTTTACTGGAATTGGGGAGGCTGGGAAGGAGCAAATTTGGGAGGGGGGTAGTATTTGTAAATTCCGATCTAAATATGGCGAGTTTGAGCTGTCAGCTGAACGTCCATGAGAAGACAGGTTTGGACAGTTAGATGTGTATGTCTGGATGGGACATAAATTTGGAAGTTGTCAGTACATAGATGGTACGTAAAGTCATGGCACAGGTTGAGATCAACTGGGTGATGTAGCTGGAGAAAAGAAGAGGACCAGCAGGTGAGCGCCGGGGCACTGCAACATCAGGAAAACAGGAGGAGGAGAACTCCACAAAGGAGATGGAAAAGCAACAGCCAATGAGGTAGAAAGAGGTCCCAGGGAGGTATCCTGGTAGCCTAGTGAAGTGTTCCAGGGAACAGCAAATACTGACTGTGCCTTAACACGAGCTAACTTCTCTAGACGGTGGTGGCGTTATTGATCTACTACGCATAGGGCATACATGATGAGTTATTTCTCTAGTATTAGCGATGGTTTTGTTAAAACATCCTACTTTACAAGGTTCTTACAAGAATGAAATGAAATAATCTATTTAAGTATATAGCAAATAAATGTATAATGGAAGCACTTAATAAACGTTAGTTGCTGTTATTATTTCTACACATTTCTGTGGCCATGAGTTATACCTGACTCAGCTAGGAACTGGATTGAGTACTAAAGCCAGGAGGTACACTCTTTTTTTGTTGTTGTTGTTTTTTGAGACAGAGTCTCACTTTGATGCCCGGGCTAGAGTGAGTGCC